TTCATGTTTAGTATATTTTTTTACAAGTTCTTCTATAAAATTATTTACCTATGACTATTCTTGGCTTGTCAAATGATAAGCCATCCATGCCGTTAGAACAGAACCAATAAAATTAATTGAAAGTCGCGAAGTAGGTAGCTTTAGCTCATGGGTCCACTACGCCACTATAGGAGACGAAAACATATCAGTTTGAAAAATGTACTGTATTCGCTTTTGTAAAATAGATACCAGACATTTATTTATTTACAAGTCGAGTTCGTTGTGAATAATGTATCTTGTTCAGTATGAAGGGAAATTGAAACTGGCTTTCAGGGGTTGTATTGTATTGAGGGCCAATAGGTACTTTGCCTTACAACCTATAAGCGAACCAATAAATTGGTGAATTTGTCGAGTTCAACTGAAGTCGAACAATACTTACTTTTACTGTTGTACTTAACTAATTCCCTGTCTGCTCAGACAGTTGTATTAATGCTTCGCCTAAAATTGACAGAATTTACGATTTTTGAGAAAAGGATATGATGCTGATGATAGTGACAATTTCAGGCAGGCCGTCTGAGAGGGAAGGAGATGACGGGATTACCATCCTGCCTATCATCGGCGGGCTAGTGTTAGGGGCCGGCCTTCTAGCATTCGCCTATTATAATCTAACGAAAAAGCCTGTATGCAAAAAACAGAAAAAAGAGAGAATTATTTGCCCCAAAATTCTTCCGAGTAAGCGAAGGTGGCAGATAGAGGAGGACGAATGTGAAGTACTATTGAAACAACTGCCACTAGAAGAGGAGGAATGTAAACCATCAGATCAAGATAAGGCCGAGTCAGGAGAAGACAAGCTTAAGGAAAAGATGGAGAAACTGGCTAAGCCGAGAAGAAATAAGGGGTGCACGTGTGTTAGTAGGCAATATTTTGTCCTAATTCAAATTACCTATTTAATACCCACCCTAATGGAAACGTGGCGCGGGGTACCGGTATAGCAATATTTATAGTGGACCCATAGCTACGATGCATTTAGTGTCTCATAGTCGATAAATTATATAACAATGGTAGAAACTAGACAACTGAATTTGATAATCCGGTATATGGCAAAAGGCTCACCCCCTATTACATGGGACTAATAACATAGTGAAAAGTGGGTGTTACATTGTACAGTGGCATTAAATGCTGTAATGTGCACCTCTGTCTACCCCTTCGGGGATATAAGGCGTGATGTTATGGTATGTGAATTTGATAATTTCATAGAATCCCCTTGATAGCTAACTCACCATTAGACAAGTTCCTGTCCAAGAAACATGCCTAATGGAGGGTGTTACATCCTTGATCCATCTTATAGGTACTAGTTATAATGTGGATCAAGGGAGATACATCAAGGTGTATTCAGATTTGACAAATGTACCGCTTAGCCGCATACGAACTGCATGCAACGTACACGCACATGGCGCAGGAGCTTCGTATGATCGTACGAACAAGAAATGTACACGTGCAGTCACAATAGGTCGCGAGCGGCCGTTCGCCAGATGTAGATGCATAGAGCCATTATCGATAGGTGTCTAGGAAAGAAATTTATTAAACAAACAAATTATGAACTAACTATGATTAGGGACCTACTTGAAAGCATTATTTTTGTTAACGTTTACTGAAGAATAATTCGTTGACAGCCACATCATTCTACATTCTCATTATTTTATGTTATAGACAACCCGGACCTAAAGAAGTATCTGCCAATCATTGCCGGGGTGACAGTGGGCCTGGGCGTGCTGTCACTACTCTCAATAGGATGCAAACCCGCCGCCTCTAACCTCACCCCCCTACCAATGTCTACTAAACCAATTCCTTATGGTGACGGGTACACTCCTCCAGCGGTAACCCTTGAAGATTCAGAATTAGAGGAATGCGAAGAGTGCCTCAAAATTGACCCCAGAAAGAGACGGTGGCCTACCGTCGAGGAAGAACAGGCAGAGTACAAGAGAATTAGAGAAAGAGATGAAGAAAAGAAGAGGGTTGAACTATTAGTACAAGAATGCATTGATAAATATCAAAAGTCTCTCGAATGTGGTAATGAAAAACCATTTTTATTAATTTTGTATCGTTATTTTATAATAACCTCTTATTTAAAAATACATTGATAAAATACTTCTTTGCTAGAAATGTACTTTCGAATAGCAAGATATGTTTAATTTCGATCGCGATTGAAGTATGTAATCTAACACCAAGTGATAATAATCTATTGAGATTTTGGTGTGAAACAAATCATAGCACCTTTTTCTAATCCATTTTTGTTGCCACTTCAATGATCTCATAGATACAAATAAAGTAATTTGAATTTGATATTTTTATTTTTGTTGCAGATCACACAGAATCTGATGAAAAAGCCAGTGGTCCTAAGGAAAGATGAGTGAAATTATTCGATATGGTTATTATACGTTGATTTTTAAAATAAATAAATGAAACAAAAGTGTTTAATAATACATGATATTGTATTTGGAACAATCTTTCTCTCTTACCGCATAATAATATAAATTATAGCTTGGTGAACGTCACTGATACAAAATATATAATAATTAATAGTAATAATTAATTAATAATAACTTATGTATAGGTACACCCGCCGCCGTACGCGATCCCGCTACTAAACAATTTGTTTTTACATAGAATCCGCCGTCGCCACTGTTAGGAAAGCAACTTGCTTTGAGGGCTTGGAGTTTGGACACTACAGAAAACAATAAACTCAAACATACAATTATTTATTACAGAAATATTACCCATCAAAGACAAACATATTATATGCTACAGTTTTCCAACGTCTGAATATTTGCATATCAGTGAACATCTGAAAGGTAAGCTGCTCGGGCTAATAGGACTGAACGCGACGCAAGCGCCAACTGGTTAAAACAAAATCAAAAACCCTCATACAAACGAATATCAATCGTGTTTTGGACGCGAACAAATCGCTATTGTTCGTTAATAGAGTCCTTAGATACACTCTTGACTTAAAAAAATAAGTATCTTTAATAGTTATTAGAGTCCTTCCGTGTTAAAGAAATAAGTTTCGCTGTGGTTGCGCCGTGAACACGGGTTTGGGCCTATCTTTAGGTAAATGCGCTTGTGATGACCACTAATGTACTACATAATAGCATCTCAAAGACTTTCTTTGATAAAAGAGTCAAACAAGAACATTTTATTTAATTTAACCTTTTGACCGCCACGTCAAAAAGCTAAGAATTCATACTATTAGTTTTTTTTTACAATTTGAATAAGTTTTTGTCATTTTACGTAAATATAAAGAAAGATGGTCAATGAATACAAACAAAAATTGGTAACGGTAATAAAAAATACCGATTTATTTTCGTTTAAGACACCACGACCAGCATATTGCCAACGGCGCTGTCAACACGTGTCGGCGACAACCGCTGACGCGTCGACGGCAGCATATATATCGACACCTGCAGTTGTAGCATTCTTCGAAGTTGAAATTCCGACGGCTATCGACGACGCGTCCACGGGTGCCGCCGACACATCGACGGCTGCAATTACCTCTGCCGTTGGCAACATGCCGCTGGTGGGTAAGAGCTCTTAAAGTCTGTCAATTTTGTCATATAGTCGTGACAACGGCGTGCTGGGCCCTTTTTGATTTGTCACCTATACATGACTCTGGCGGTCAAAAGGGTAAACTAATGTGTCACCATGTTATCTATCTTGTTATTATACAACTTACTTGTGACTCGGTTGAAAATTCATATATGAATAACTAACACATGTTTGTATAGTATTAAGTAATAACAAGCCACATATAATAACATTGCTATAGTCATTTGAGTATGGATTATTATTCTAACTATTATTATAAATGCGAAAGTAAGTTGTTACTTCTTAACGATAGAAGTAACGAGGACATAGGCTAATTGTCGCGGGCAAAGCTTGTCGACTATGGACGCTTGCTTGGACAATGCTACAATTTAGCAGGAGGCCTAGTGTGTATCGGAACCACTGTATTTTTGCTTGGTATGCTTTGTTGCGATAGTCGCAGATTGCATTGGATGCATGATTAGTGTTGATGCCATTTAATACATGTGTTGCACTAACACAAAATGTAAACGGGCGACCACCATTAAGATGATACAGGCTGTTCCTTGAGTTCATATAAAGTTTTATTTCTAAGATGTTACATGTTTGTCAGTTACAGTAAAATCACATTAAGTCGTGTATCGCATCTTGTAGTGATAATAAGTCGAAGTACATTGATGTTTAAAATTAAACTCTTAATTTGACCAATTCAAATAATACTAAATAATAGAGTACATCACCAATAATGTTGGTTTATTTGCCAGAAAGCTTGATAATGTTCCGTCCGACTAGCCAATGTGTGTATGTGTACCGGCGACGACGTAGAATGCTAAAACTAATGGCGTTACATGTGACTATGGTTTGTCTGTCCATCGCGCACGCACACATCAAGCCTTCTTGTATCACGTGGCCTCTTCAGTTATACGCTGGAAATAAACAAAATGAAAAGTCATAATGATAGTCAAATTATTTGATTGTAAGAGCCTGGCCACAGAGACGAATGGCAGCAACAGGCGCTATGATGAGTACATACATTACTCTTCACTTGTTTCATCCACCTGTCGCCATCGCTACAGCGAATTTGAGGCAGGAATAGTTAAGTCATCATAAATTAAAAAATGTAACTTAACTACAAAAGACATTTTTTTGAGGGGGGGAAGTCATCCAATGACTGCTCCCGCCTTGGGTGAGGCTAGAGGGAATGGCAGACTCTTACTGACTAAAAACCACCCCGTTCCTACTCCTGTTCTTTGAGCCGGAGCCCCGACAACCCGTTAAGCCTTCCGCGGCTACGTATCGGGCATCAGCCCTACTGGGCCCTATCCGTGGTGGCGTGATTGCTCTTTGAGGTGCGTGCGCCGTACGCACAGGAACTAAAAAATACTTACATAGAAAGCTATCATAGTTTATACTGACGTAGAGTACTCACCGTCCTATAGGTGTTATTTCCGAGCCTGCAGTGCATTGGAGAGCCAGTCCATCGCCTGGTCGAGTCCCTCTCCGCGAACAGCAGAAGTCTTGAAGATCTGGAAAGTGCGGTCACGTAGCGCGTCGAGGCCTAGTGCCTGGTGCACCTCGGCCACTGTCAGGCAACCTGCCATGTCCTGCTTGTTCGCCAGGACTACTAGTATTGCATTGGCTAGTTCCTCCTCCTGGAATATGCAAAGAATATTCAATTAGTTGATGTTAATATTGATTCTGATTTTTTTATCAGATTGCTGTTAGAGCTACTGAGATACTAACATTAAGGGAAAATGACTTACAGCTACCCAGTTAACAAGAACAAAGTTACCCCTTATTAACCTATATATCCCCAAGTGGTGACTACTCTCCACTAACCACATTGTAGACCTTATTTCCAATGTTTAGAGAGTACTTTTGTATAAACAAATTTAAGAGATTATTTTCAACATGTTAAGTAAGTAAGACAGTTAGTAACAACAAATGTCAAGGAACAGAAAGTATCGGTTTAGCTTTTGTTTTTAATAAGTATCATAAAATAAAAATACTTATAAGAATATAATCAATATTTCTAATAAGACTATTTCCTAACTAGAACACAGTGCAGACTTACTTCACATGTTTTTGCCAATAGTATATCATGATAAAAGTTACCTATTACACATAGATTACGTTAAGGAAAACTATACATAACTTATGTAACCACTTCCTACAGCATATAGAAATATAGGAAACAAGATAACCTATATTTATTTTATTTAATTTTACTTTTAGAAGACATTATCAGGTCTAGATCTATGCGTTTATCTTTCTTTAAATCACTGACACATACAACGTATTATCACATAAACAATCTACAAATGCTTTCAAACTGTACAAGTTTATGTAGTTAGAAGACATAATACAATATTATGGCTTTGTATAGCAGTATCTACTCCTATACATATAATACTTTTTTTTTTTTTTAAGGGGGGAAAATCGTCGAATGACTGCTCCCGCCTGGGTGAGGCGGAAGGGAGTGTCAGACTCTTACTGACTAAAAACCACCCCGTTCCTTCTCCTGCACGTCGAGCCGGAGCCCCGGTTACCCGTTAGGTTCTCCGCGACTCCGAATCAGCATCGGCCCTATTGGGCCCCATCTGTGGTGGTCTGATGGCTCTTTGAGGCGCGCGCGGAACGCGACGCGCCGTACGCTCGGGTCTGTTTCTGGTCGGACGGGGAGCCACCCATGCTCGCCGTCCGCAGGCCCGCGCTTACGGTGGCCGGAGATCGTCCCGCGATCCCCGACGCCCGGTGTGTCCTTCGCGATGGCTGGGTTGCGAGGAGGCAGCGCTTCGCTGCCTCACGCGTCCCGCCTCCTCCTTAGCTAGCATATACATATAATACTAGCTTCTGCCCGAGACTTCGTACGCGCAATCCTGTTTTCTCCCGTTCCCATAAGATTTTCAGGATTTTTTTTCTATCATAAGAACCTTCTCCTGATAATAACAAACACAATTAAAAAAAATTAGCCAAATCGGTCCAGCCATTCTCAAGTTATGGCGTGACAACGGGAAACGGGTTTCATTTTCATATTGTATATAGATATACTTATGCTATCTACTTGTGCGCGGTTGGGCCCGCTCTACTCGGCGCCTTTTAATCGTAGTGTAATGTTTTATAGCCTATAGGTCATAGGCTAGATAGATAGCAAGGACAGTTGGGTACAATCGCAGGCAACCTGATGATCAAACACAGGGACAACTCCTTCCCGTCTGATATATTCTTAGTGTTGTATACTATCGGAGCTCATATAGCCTTGTGCGAAAAATGGACTATCCTACATAGCCTTACTTGATAAATGAACTATTCAACATAAAAAGATTTTCTTCAATCGGACTAGTAAGTCCTGAGATAAGCACATTCAAATAAACGGAACCCTTCAGCTTTTTATAACAGTATAAGACATAGTAGGCATTTAAGATATAATTTTAATTAATACAATTTAAGACAAAACTCTATGGATGACTAATCAACACAAGGCTGTGTATAATAAAATATCTACCTAAAGAACCTCTGATAACTATTAACATACTATAATTATTTATTAATATTTGACAAGTATGCACTCACTGTCATTATGATGATTTATTGATAAATGATTGATACTTTATTTATTTTTACTGACTTCAAAAAAAGGAAGAGATACTATGTTAGACTGATTATTTTATAAAACACTTGTGGAATAGCGCAAGTGCACTAACACATGTAAAAACATGACAATATTGACAGCAGCAAGATGAGGCAGTGTTTATTGTTTCCTATCTGAGCAATTTGAGAAAAACACCAAAATAAGTTCAAGGGATATGTCCCTCCTTTAAAGTCAAAATAAAATAAAATTGAAATATTGCATGACATCACATTAATATATATTTTATACTTTCTTCTTATAGCCTTGGCAACTGAATCTCCAACACGATGTTGTCGACTACACTTTGGGTGTGTGAGTGATGACATAGTTATCTAAGAATTATAATTTTCATACCTAATTAACATTGTTACTAGACCTGGATTACCTAAGTTGTAATCAAAAGCAAGGTTTTAGAAAAATAGTAGTTATTGTAGTATTTAATTAGAAAATAGTGATATTTATTGCATTCTGCTTATTAATTATTTTCATTATTTTTTATGGCTATTTTACAGTTTGTTGCCAAGTGATCTGACCATTCATAGAATTTATACTTTTTATAGATTATACACATACATTTAGTACATTAGCAATGAAACTCCTGGATTTAAGACATTACAATAACTTGGCGTATTTCATTAAACGGTTAATTTAGTTTTCGTTACATAGATAGCTCACAGGTTTATTATTTGTCATACGTAGTAAGTAATACATAAGTATTACTTACTATTTTATACAGAACTTTCAATGAGGTTTCAAAGTCATATGTTTCAATTGTTTCGTAATTAAAAGACAATACACACATATGGCCAACTGTCAATGTATTGTTTAAGTGAAGCTATTGATTACTATAATACATACAGGTTGCACTTACCCTCAACATGTGTACCAATTCATCTTTAGATATTCCTATTCGATCTCTATCTGCAGAGTCTACTACATATATTATTGCATCCGTGTTCCCATAATAACATCGCCAGTAGGGCCTGCAAATAACAACACCATGTATTAACATTACACAGTACTAACAAACACTATGTACTCTCTATTGGTATTGTCCACAGAAGCCTGGCAACTACAATACAGTTCTAACAAGAATGACACTAGAACAATATCCATAGCTAAACAGATCCTAACCTCTACATTTGTCAATGTTTCCTCACCTGATACTGGTCTGTCCACCCAGATCCCACACTTGAAACTTTAAGTTCTTATATGTGACTTGTTCTACGTTAAAGCCGATGGTAGGTATGGTCGTCACCACCTCCCCAACTTGCAGTTTGTACAATATCGTCGTCTTCCCGGCACCGTCCAAACCAAGGATCAAAATCCTCATTTCTCGCGCCCCTAACAAACCTCTGAAGTAACTGAATAGACCACCTGCAATATACCAACATAGTTATTGCATTATCTAGGCGAAAAACACGATTAAAATACTTTTTTATGACAATTTATATCACTTACCCATTTTCTGATAAGCTTAGCCTATTTTAATGCATTAGTTGTTACGTCTAAGGAATGATTTTGAATTGTGTGTGCACATTAAATGTTCCCAATGTTTTTATTTTTATTATCTTCACTTCCAAGTTATTTATTCAATCACTTTTAGCGATAAATAATGAACATTTTTTAATAAAACCCAGCAAATCGTTTGACGTGTAAGCAAGCACTCAATGTCAGTTGCCAGCATAAAAAAGAAGTTTTGACATTTCATTGATATAATTTGTTGTCACTTTTTTTAAATAAATAGTTTTCATGCAGATAACAATAAAACGAGGTTTGTGAATAAAGACGTTTGTAAAATAAGAAAAATATTAAGAAATATTAAATGGGTTGTTCCACCTTGTTCCATAACCACAGCTCAAGCAAGTCATCTTACATAATAGTAATAGCAAAATGTTGCTGATTAATGATATGGGTTAATATTACAAAGGCGCCTAATCATAGAACACAAATACGATTTACGTAAATCATTAGTTACAATGGTACCTTTAAAGACCTAGGTTTGATTTAGATGCATGATAATATACTCGTTGTTTAGTTTGTTTAGAGATATGCAATTCCCTACCGGTTGTTTAATACCAACCACTGTTGAAAACTAACACCTTCAATTTTTACGGCATTTTATACCCATCTGTTTAGTCTGTTCTAACGTACCACGGATTCAATTCAAGTGTGGCACAGTACCTACTTTGCGTGATCTACTAATTATTATTCTGGATCTGGGTGTTATTTTATAGGTACCTATATAAAACTCATTTATACCTACATAAGCTTTGTAAAATAGACACAGTAGAAAATTCCATTGTGGGACCATATTTTAAGTATGATCTTTTAAATCATTAGTTCCAGCATCTTTGTACTTACTTATCTATTATGTAGTGACAACAAGCTATCACTACTAGGTATCCCTAATTACTTTTAGGTAACTTCTAATATAATTCACTAAAAGACAAACTAATATGTAATATACGAATTTTAATCATCCACCCAAAAGTTACATAAACTCAATGTGGACTTTCCACTGTCAAATATTAATGTGAATAACATTAGTTATCAAAAATTAAATATTCATACAACCAGGACGTAAAACAAACACAAAAAAGCGTATAAAATTAAACACTTAACCACCATAATTAGACATTTTATGATTTATTTGAAAAAAAGTTGCATACTTTAAACTGGCCTTGTGTTGATGATAACTGAGTCATAGATAAAATTATATTAATAGGTAGGTAAGTATACATGGGGGTTTTCCGAGACGTTATAACTTTTGTAACTACCTACGTCAGTATTTAACAAGGATTAGTTATATGACACGATATTATGATAACTATAATTATTTACTCAGTAATTTAACTATTAATACAATTATTTTGTTAAACCTTTGCTCTATAATTTTTGTGGTTTAGAAACCTGAATATATTCAGTTTTTCACCAAGCACTTTACTATTATTAAACCAACTTGTTACTAAGACCAATTAAGACGGTACTAAAGACGTTCCGTAAATAACAGATGGCGCTAGTGGCCTGTCTAACACTAAATAGAAAAATAAAATAAAACCTTAATTTAAAAGAAATTTTATATTCTGTATTTAGGCTAAGATTTCATTTCAAATTCCGACTGCCGAGATAACTTACGATATTTCGATAAAGTTTCGTAAGCAATAGACGCCGGAACATTTTCAAGACTATTAAAACTTACAAGTTCGCATCTTGTGTTATTGGATTATTTTCGTTTGTTCGGTAGTCGGTACCTAGTACCAAATAGGATCAACAATTATATAGGACTTATAATGATGAACTGTTAAATGTAACATTATGTGCACCTTGCACCTTAATCTATTTGCCTTTGGGTATCAGTGGCGTAGCTTGGCTTGGCGGAGCCCCGTATAAAAATTTGGTAGAGGACCCTTATAAAGGGTAAAGATTTCTCACAAGAAATTTTTAACATAAAATGCTAATTATTCATGTGAAACCCGGAAAACTTTCCTGGTTACTTCCTCTGTCCAAATTATAGGAAAACGATCACTTCAGTTTCTGTAAAGTTTCTGTTGTTTTTCTGTAAAGTTTATTTTGTTTAGTAACGCACGTTGCGGTGCCCCGTGGCTCTAGGGGCCCGTATAATTGATACGGCAGACACGGCGCCGGCGCTAGCTATGTCCCTATTGGGTATAAAATCCGTATTTAAGACGTCTTCAACACATGCTCTATTCTTATAGTGCACGTACCTATTAAAATGTTGAAGTGTTGAGTATGTGATCGTCTAGAGTATGTATTACTGCGATAACTTTACTACTATTTTCTAAAATAACGATAGGTAAATAACAAAGTAGTAAGACCACGTCCCCTAAAAGTTCAGGTTTATTATTATAATCTCGCCCTACGCGATAGGACGACATAATGTTGTAACATGTATCGCCATTCCACCTATAGATAGTACAGTGACGTCGCGAGCTGACGTAGCGCTACGTCACGCGGCGACCCCGCCTCCACGCGGCGCACGCGCACGACACATCGGGAACATCAACCATTCATATATTGAACACACTTGATTGATCTCTTGCCTTATATGCACCGCATGACAACATCTAGGAACTTACTTGAGCAAAGTTTTTTTGAAGAATTTGTCTTTGCCTTTTTCGATAAGATTTTCAGGGTACTTAATCTTGAGGAAAATACACAGTTCAGTTCTGGGAACAAATTCAGGCTGATTAAAGTATATTAAAGTACACTTTGCCAAAGAATTTTTCAAGTTTCGCAGAATTTATTCGATTCGTAACAAAAGTTGGAAGTTCAGCTTAAATGTCCAAATATTCATATTTCAGTCTGAAGTCATCTGTAACAATATAAAATCATTCGTTATTAAACCGATAAAACTATAAAACTTGGTAAAATATGTGATATGTCAACAAGTCAACACATTTAAAGGTAGGTAGATAGGTATTGTATACAAATCGGTGAACTGCGTCAGAAGACCACAAAATAAACGACATGTGGTCAGTATCACCAGCCCACGGGCCACGGGTTACATCGCCACTGGGAATAAACCATACCATTCATGATCAGAGCCGGTGGGCAAGAAAATGTGGATGAAAATCCGATACTTATGAGACCTATTTCTTTAGTTGTTTTACTTCTCCTCTAATAATATTTTATTACTTGTTCACGTCTCTGGGACGCACCGGACTTCAATAATCTGGTGTTTTCATAGTTGTATTTACTGTATATCCTGGCTTTAAGGAGTTGCAGCGGTTTTGGGAGGTGCAAGTGAGCTTGCCTCATTAATAAAAAAGACCTATTTCCTGAAGGTTAGCAGTTATTCAAATAGAAAACCTGTGTAATGAATTTCCAAATTAAATGTAAACTAATATAACAAATAGCCTAGCAGAGTCATGTCATGGTCATCTATGCATAAGTGCATAATGACCATTTTGCCAAGGATGTAATGACAAGAACTTAAGGGGAAGCTTACACGGGATACAATTCGAAAAACACATGCCTTATTAGGGAGTCCGTAACTCAAATACAGACCCAGATGGAGATCATATAATTTGAATATGAACCACAAGACCAGTAAGTAAAGAAAGTAGTTAACAATTTAACCTTATTAATTTACAATAAGCTTCGTACGCAATCACATCGTTCACACACCGATGATGTTAGATGCCTCATGTATACCTGATGTAGCAGCTAGGCTTTTCTGAAAGAAGTCAATTTGAACTCTGGAAGTGAGCTGGATCGCCATTGATTGTGAGAATAATCACGGCCAATGATCAACAACATCTTACAGAATAGCCCAGCAGGTGTGTCGCGGTGTCTTTTTACTATCACAGACCGTGAGCTTTGCAATACTCTAACAAAAATAAACATAGATAGAGGAAAGTTACTACAATAGTTTTTATGGTATGAGTAATACTAATTACTACGACCTCATCTGACGTTCAATATAACCGTCAAATATCTGGACCAGTCATAAGCATAACATTTACTTTGTTTTTAACTAACAGCGGTGATTCAGCGCGCTAATTTCGTAAAATTCCGATTATAAATAACGCGAATATTTTGGATTGAAGAGTAAACTGAAGATGATGAATGATCTAAATATTGCACACTAGTTGCGGCAACGACTTTGATTGGAAGAAAATTAAAATATACGTACACCTATTTGTATTATAACTTTCGTGAAACATACTAGATTAAATATTAAGTTTATCGGCTGATTCAAGTAATTATTTGACGAAGAACTCGACTATAAAGTGTCAAATCATGCTAGAGGCTCATATTCATGAGCGCGACCCGCGAGGCGGCGACTGTCGCGCTGCTACTGGCTGAGTATGAGCCCGAGCTATGAGAGTATGAGTTGACTATAAGCCTCCAGCATGGCTTAACACTAGTCGAGTTCCTCGTCAAATAATTACGTAAGTAAGCCGAAAAACATAATAATTAATTTCCCACACCGATTACTTGTAAATTGAACCTAATTTTCTGCTGACCCACAGAGATTGTTGAGTAAGAGATTTGAATAGGGGTTGGACAAACTTATTATTACTTAATTACATTTAATCTAGGTATCTGTTTAACAAGAACTCTCAGTAGTTGTATGAAGGTCCTTTCTAACGGAGCCCTATGTACGGTTATGTTATACATATCCTATAGTAAGAAGAAATGCACACCTAACATACATAATGTCATAGACACCTTAGTAACCCTTACATGGCATTGTAGATCACTTACAGACCTACCTTATAAAAACTACATAGGTATTCTCAATTCTATGCGTTCTTGATTAGGTGCAATCTTAAATGTAATTATTCGTATCTATTTCTGTCATTTTGTTCGTGAGTGTCTACTGAGTACGATTACAGACAGACACCCTGT